TTTTGATTACTTATTAAGGAATCATAGTACTTCAATACTACATGAATCTGTCCACCAGTGTTCAAAAGTCCCTCCACCATTCATTATCTTTTGATTTTTCCCTCCCCTCATTCTTTCCTTGATAGTTATTTATTTTTTATTGAATCAACGTGTGCTATACTTACAAAGATTTTATGTTTGAGTTTCAGTCATACAATGATCGAACACCCATCCCTCCACCAGTGCACATTTTCCACCACCGGTGTCCCCCGTATTATTCTTCTCCCCCCACCATGTCCCACCCCTCACCCTGTCATGTGGCAGACAATTTCCCTCTTACTCTCTCTCTACTGATGGACACTATGATTTTCAATACAAATAATGAGAGGCCATCATGTTTGGTGCTTTATCTACTTTCAGCACACCTCTTACATCCCAAGTGATCCCTTCAGCCATAACTGACTTAGTGATCCCTTCTCTATCCCAGCTGCTTTCTCGATGAGGCTTTTTTAAAGAAGAGCCCATACTACTTCTAAAAGTGGGTGTAAAAATCATATCTATTGTGCTCTACTATCTACTTACAAATCCTCTGGCCAGGGCTGGAAGTCTTATCAGACTCCAGGACATTGACAATCTCTGCCCAGCTACAGCATAACCCTGCAGCCTTGCAGCTCTCAGGAAGTTAGGTTTGGAAACCCAAAAGAGAATAATCATTTAACAACAGTGCACATAAAAAAAAACAAACAGTGAGTTGGGGGTTGCTGTCATTATTTTGTTGAAGACGAAAGGGAAGCTCTATAATATTCATTGCCATTAGATGGAGGAGGTAAGGAGTAAAGTCAGGTGTGCCTAGCTCTGAATGTCCCTCACAGTTCCTCCTCGGGGTGTGTGTGTGAAACACCAGGAACAGGAGCTGGCAGCAGACTGAAGCTGAGCTCGTGCACTTTGATTGGGGGGGGGGGGGAGGGGTTTCACTTCTAGCAATGCTCCGGGCTTTGTCCTAACTCTGCACTCAGGAATTAGTCATGGTGGTGCTCAGGGGACAAAATGGGATACCAAGGATCAAACCCAGGTCAGCCGCATACAAGGCAACTAACTACCTTACCCTCCAAGAATTTTAATTTTAGTAGTAAACCATTGCAGGCGATAGAACTTAATAAAAATAACAACCACCACCACCACCACCACAACAACAACAACAAAAACTCAACACCAGATATATTGTCTTTTATTTACTTCTTTATTTGGACATCAAAGAGGAGAGAAAGTTGTTGGCAGGGGCCTGAGCACCCCACGGGATTCTTAACTTTATAAGGTGCAAAAAAGAGGTTTATAAGTGTGTTTCATTGAACAAAGCAAAGCTGCGACAAAATGGAATCACACTGATAATAGTATGCATCAGCGAAAGGGAGTATTTATCCATCAAACACAATTTGACATTTGAGCCTTTCCCCATAAAACAAGAACTCTCCACTGAAGGGTATGTAGTGCACAGGAAACATCACAAAAACGCTCCGAGAGAACATAAACTGGCATTGTGTCACTTATTAATTCAAGTCTCAATCACCAACGACCTCTCTGAATGCAAAGGGGTTCATGTATCAGGTACCTGTTTATGGGGCTCTATGCTCTTTCCACAGTACACAGCTCTGTACAAACACACCGAAGATGGATTGGAAACATGGCAGCATTTACATATTGTAAAAGTTCAGGCACATTTGGATGCAAACAAAACAGCACAGAAGAATAGAAAATTTTCTAAAATCTCTCCAAAGACAGTGCAAAATTCAAGTGCCCTAATAGAGGCAGCAATTACATAGAAAAACATGTTTTACATGACTTCAGAGGAGGCCACGCTCACTGGAAACCAAATGGAGAGGAAATGGAACTTGAAATAGAGGAACCACACTCACAGAAAGATGGATAGTAGGGAACACAGTTCAATTCACTTGCTCTAGCTGAGTGTATGTGTCTGGGGCATTCACCTAGGAAGTGTGCAGTGTAATCCGAACTCAGCCTCCCCAGTCTTATACCAAGAGAATCCTGGTTGCCTCATCAGCTACGATAGAACTATTTGCCTTTCAAATAACCGGTTTCCCCAAAGCAAATTTGTCTGGGAATATCAGACATTACTACAGTCCTAGTGATCATTCCCAGTATCTACAATTGATCTGAGTTGGAACATCCAAAAAAAAAAAAAAGTAAGGATTTGAACTGGCTTCATATGGGGATATTTGAAACCAGTGATCTATATCAATGACCATTTCAGTGTCTAAGATTTTGATGTGAGAACACTTGACTGTGATTGAAAGTCAGTCATCAGTAAATCCCTTTAGATCTCATCCCACAAAGTGCAGGAGACAACGACATGATTTCAACATACTTGCAATGTTACGAGGGAAAACTGATCAAAGACTGCACTTCCTAGGAGGTTGAGCTCTCCAGACTGCATAGGGTCTTCTCTTTGGATGAACTAGCCTACCTGTTGCATGACAGCAGTACAGAATCAATACGGCAAGTCTGCAGCTAAGTAACAAAAGAAAACACAGACCACTATATAGTTCCCTGGAAACTGTGCAGTGGTTACATGCTCTTCCCTAACTCAAATCGCCATTTTGGACATGGCTGGCAGGTCAAGCTAGTCACTTGTGGTGTACAGGGCAGACGAAGAATATTGAACCCTGGTACATGTCACGGATATTGGTAATGGCCTGCCTCAAAAATACTTTCAAGACTTTACTACTATAGGTTGCGTTCTCTAAATTCCCGAACGCCTTTCCTACTTGACATTAGACTCTGAGGTCGATTGTATCTTGATCCTATCTTTAAATGACCTCAGAATGGGGAGAGAACATAGCATATTCCCTACACCCAACAGCAGTATCAGCTGTAAGTTTCAGCTGTCCATTAGTGGCACTTCAAATAATAATAAAGAGATTTCTAAAACTATTAGAGACTCCTGGGCTAACATTCCAACCATCTGGTCTTCTCGGCCCACTTCAAATGTAGTAGTATCTTAACATGAATACAAAAATGCTAGATGAATAATGAAGAACCCTCTGTTGTACTATTGTTTGGATTTAGCTGGTATGACATCACCTATAAGTTCTAGAATTTTTTTGTTTGTTTTTATTTTTTTAAAAGAAAATTTAAGTATAAACATTAAAAAGAACCCACTGACCCATTAGCTACTGTCCAAAAATACTACAGCTGATATTTTGGTAAAGCAAAATTAGCTGCCCTGAATAATTTTCCCTTTCAGGCATAATCTCTGCTACATAAGATTGTCTATCATTCACTATCCCACAATAGGCATCTGGATTAGTGATATCTTATCTACTGTGGATATAAAAGTTGATATGAAATGTGATCTTCATTTAAATGAATAATCACCAGGCCTTAGGCATGAATGACTACATACACAGTAGCTAAAAGAAAACAAAACCAAGAAACTACATTATTTTTCACTGGTTTGGCGTCCAAGACCAGTCAAATGAAACCCAGAACAGAATTACTACATTCAATAGTCTGATAAACAAGCATCGTAATTTCAAAAAAATATATATTATACTATGTAAGGTGCTTCTTAAACAAAACAACAACAAAAGAATTATGTTCTAACCACAGTCTTAGTGCAGATACATAAAGTTGCCTCCAAATGTAGATGTATAGATGGAAATTTTAAAAAAAATCTTTGTATTTTTTGGTTCTCCCACATTTCCATTTTTTGGTGATCACCTTCTGAGCACTTAAAAAGGAAGGAAATCCACTTTTTGTAATAGACATTCACAAGAGAAACTCTTGAGGCTTGACTGGGCTTTGGGCTAACTCAACACCTCTCTGCTGGGTTAGAATTATGGACAATGAGGTCACCAGGGAAAACCAAACTGACCCTTGCACTGAGAAGAAGAAATAATCTATAACTGTTGCAGAGAAGCAATTTATGAAAGGCTTCCCAGGGCAAGAAAGAGCCTTCCTCCTTGAGACAACAGGTCCTAAGATTCCTGGAGCCCAGAGGATTCTGGTCTACTCCCCTGGCTTATAAAATGAAAGACATGAGATCAGGGAAAGTTTGTGACTCCCAAGGCCACACCCTGATGTGAGGACTCACTCTAAACATCCAAGGGCAGGTGGATAAAGATCCTGGGCAGGCCTGGGCAGGGGTTTTCCTAGCTCACTCTCCACTCCGGCTCCGGAGAATGGAGCCACCCTAAGGATGCAGCTCTCTCCTCTCTGGCTTTCACAGGGAATTGAGTCTTCTGGTTCTATCAGTTTCTGCTCTCTTTCAACTGTCTTTCAGTTCCTACAAGAATCCTTCATACTATTTGCCCATTGTGTTGGTGCTTAATTTGTCACCAACTTCTGACTGTCCTTACTTAATAGGCAAGGTCCTACCCTGGAAATATTTCCCTTCCATGCAAGGGAGGAAACAGGGAGAGCTGAGCAGAGTGCCCTCTGTTGATAAGTATGAGATCCAGTCAGGACAGACACTGCAAAGCCCCACCCCTCACATCCACGCCTGCCCAGAACAGAATTTCCTTTCACAAAATAAAAACAACCTCCACCCCAATAATTATTTTATCCCTCTCAAAGGCAAAGAAAGTATTATTATTAGCAGAGACTTAATTGCGATTAATTTCCTTTTTTTTCTAACATAGGTACCTGGGAAATAAAAACTGACTTGATCCCATGACCTGTACACAGTGCTCTCAAAGGTCAATAGCAGAGTTTTCAGCAAGGTGTGGCATATTAATTGGGCAAAGCCTTGGAAATTGGGGGATTTTTCTTCCCTGTGTGCATCTTGTATTCCTATAGGGGAAATGAAGAATCACTGAATATTCTGCACCCACCATGTCATATTGAATCAAATGACGCATGACTATAGGAATACAAGAGTGTTAGAATGAACCTCTGGCTTGGCTTTCTTCAAGCCAGCAATGAAAAGAGCCTCATTCAATCCCTCCCAGTGACTTATTCTCAGATCCATTTCAAAGTGCTTCACAAAAGTGAGGTGCCCAAGCTGAGACTCTGCACGTAGCTTCCATCCAGAGTTACCTGGACCCCATCTGGCAGCCTGAGTCTACTCATGAGAAGTTATAGGAATCCTCATGCTTAGAAAGGTAGCACAGGGAGAAAGGGAGCTGTTACAAAGAATCTGGCCCTAGCATCCCTTTGACTGCTCCCCAAAGGTGTACCACTAAGAACCGAGCAAGCAGATGAAAGGGCCACTCATAGCAGAAAGCCATGGGCGGGAGCATGCTGGAGTGTGTACGGGCACAGAGTTCTGCGAGAATAGGCATGGGAGGATATCAGAGGTGGGAGGGAGGCTCAGGATCTTGCGGGAGCTGGGCAGCTCTCAAAGGGTGCTGGGGAAATTCTCGGCCTCCCCAGGGATGTAGTAGGCTGGCAAGGAATGCGATGGAGCAGAGCTGGTGGTGGCCAACTGGTTCTGGATGGTCTCTTCCATGGGGACACTCTCGCGGTTGGGGGCATGCAGTCGGTGGGCATCCAGCATCTCCAGCAGCAGGTCATACAGGGGGACCACGTTCTTGCACTTCATGTTGTACAGATGCTCCATGCCTTTGTTGCTGTGGGGGGAGACAGAGAGGAAGGGTTTAGGCCGGTGCAAGCCCCTGTGTGGAGAGGGGAAGTAAGGGAAACAGATATTTCTTTCTGCTTAAAGAATCATCCGAATACACAAGAGACAGAGAGACACAGAGAGAGAGACAGAGAAACAGAGAGACAGAGAGGGACAGAGAGAGAGAAAGAAGGACTATGTCTGCCACAGAGGCAGGGAGGTGGGAAGGGGTGGGGATGGTGGGAGGGATGCTAGGAACATTGGTGGTGGAGAATAGGCACTGGTAGAAGGATGGGTACTTGAATATTGTATGACTGACACGTAATCATGAAAGTTTGTAAGTCAGTAAAAAAAAAAGATGAAAGTAATCTCGATATAAAAAGAAAGACTAAAAACTAAAAAAAAAAAATAAAGAATCATTTCTGCATTTCCTAAGCTGATGACCTTCTTTCTAGGCTCCAATCACATCCTGTTCCCTGCCCCGCACCACCACATTTAGAGAGCAATGGCTCTGGAGTAAGGGAGGCCCTGGATAAAAACATACAACAGAGAGCTAATGACAATCTGAGAATTTTGTATGTGTGTTGACATGCATGTAGGTTTATACATTCATGCTCCCAAACACACACATGTACACACACGCACACACACGCACACACACACACACACACACACACCTACTTACTAGCTTGAATTTTCTTTTTTCGGCTTGGAGGCTATACTTTTACTGTTTTTTTTTAAATTATCCTTATTAAAAACCAAATGAGATTAAGTGATACACATCGAACTCTGTTGTCTCATCCCTAATCATCTTTCTTCTCAAATTTACCTTGATTATACCATATTCTTTTCATAATTTTTCCAGAAATACTCTGTAATATTTCTTTTTCTTTCTTTCTTTCTTTCTTTCTTTCTTTCTTTCTTTCTTTCTTTCTGTCTGCTGTCTGTCTGTCTTTCTTTCTTTCTTTCTTTCTTTCTTTTTGCTTTTTTGGTCACACCCAGCATTGCACAGGGGTTACTCCTTGGTCATGCACTCAGGAGTTACTCCTGGTGGTGCTCAGGGGACCATATGAAATGCTGGGAATCGAATCCGGGTCAGCCGTGTGCAAAGCAAACACCCTATTCGCTGAGGTATTGCTCTAACCCCCACTGGAATATTTCTAGAGGGGGATTCTAGAAGGGGAAAATAGTCTCTCTGCTTCACACAAAATGGTAGCTGCTGAATTCACTCTTCTCTGCACTTTGCTAATAGTTGCTTCGTATTCCTTGGCATAAATGTGCACAGGATTATATCTGGTGGCCCTTATGTCTGGCTGGACATTAAGGAACAGGAGAACATGCACTTCACTTCTGGGCTTACTCCTTGCTCGGGACTCACTTCTGGTGATGCTTATGGGACCATCTGTGGAGTTGAGGATCAAACCCAGGTCAGCAATGCGCAAAGCAAACATCTCTCCAGCCTTCACATGACTTTTTTTTTTCTTTTTAAGGAATTATTGAGCCTGAGGAAGCAGGACTGAGAGAATGTCCTAGCAACTGATAGCAGGCTTAGTAGGGAAAAAGTCAACACCAGCTGAAAGCATGCCACGAAGACAGCCAGGAAGCTCTTCCGCTATCTCCTGACATGACAACCCAAATGGCCTCTTACAGGGGTATTTTGGTGTTTTGTTTTGCTTTGAATTTAACATGTTGTTAAAGTTGAATGCCCCATGGATCTGACACCATCTTCCGTGCAACCTTATGTTTCACGTTTACAGTCAGATGGAATCTCGTGTAAATTCTCTGAGTAACACCATCTGGCTGGGGCCAAGCCGCATCATGCATTTCTGTGATCTAGACCAGCTGAAATGAGACAACATACTATTGTGTATATGGGCTGGAGCGATAGCACAGCGGGTAGGGCGTATGCTTTGCATGCAGCCAGCCTGGCCGAGCCAGGTTCGAATCCTTCGCCCCTCTCGGAATGCCCCGCAAGCTTCCGAGAGTATCTTGTCCACACGGCAAAGCCTGGCAAGCTCCCCGTGATATATTCGATATGCCAAACACAGTAACCAGTCTCACAATGTTACTGGGCCCGCTCGAGCAAATCGATGAACAACGGGAGGACAGTGTGTGTGTGTGTGTGTGTGTGTGTGCGCGCGCGCACACACATGACAGAGACAGACAGAGATAGAAAGAGAGAGAGAGGGAGGGAGGAAGGAGGAAGGAGGAAGAGGGAGAGGGAGAGCAAGAAGGGAAGGAATAAGGGGGGAAGAGAGAGAGAGAGGGAGGGAGGGAGGGAGGGAGGGAGAGAGAGAAAGAGAGAGAAAACAAAGCTTTCAACAAAATGTCAATGTCTCTTGGGCTTTTCACACAATTGCTACAGCTCTAGAGAGTTCTCTGTTCCCTAACCACGCATTGCCAGTAAAACCCGGGAAGCCTGGAAATTTCGTGCAAATGTATCTGGTATTAACTAATTAGTCTTGCAAATGATGACAAGCAGCTAATGGGTGTGAAAATTCAGTCATTCCTACCACACACGCAAACGTCTGTGGAACAGGTCTCTGCCACAGGGCTGGAATTCCTCACTTGCCAGGAACATGACAATGACTGTATTTTCTCCAAGGGGACAGTTACTCTCTCAGCCGGAGCATTCTATAAAGGATCAGATGACTCCAATTCGCACCCTCTTCTCTTTCTGATATCCACTGTCACTGTCCTCCCGTTGTTCATCGATTTGCTCGAGTGGGCCCAGTAATGTCTCCATTGTGAGACTCTGTGTTTGGCATATCAAATACATCACAGGTAGCTTGCCAGGCTTTGCCGTGTGGGTGAGATAATAGAAAAAGATTGAAAATGTACAGTCACTGGAGAATGGGAAGCCTTCAGTGGAAAGGAGCAAACAACCAATGCCTCTTTCATTCATTCACTTCTTCCTTTGCCCATGGATTTACCCATTTATTCACTCATTCACTCATTCATTAACTGACTCCTTCGCTAAATCAGTCACTCACCTACTCATCCACTTACTCACTAGCCAATAAAGTGAGTGAATCTGCCAAGTATGCCTTTCCATATGGCCATGAGCAGGAGTCACGGGAAGATAGATTTATTTTGAAGAAAAACCATTTGCAAGGCTCTGTCCAGAAAGGCTCATGCTTGGGACTTTCATGGGACAACTTCCCGCATCTGGCTCAAAGTTTCTAGTTTTAAGGGTGCTTTAAAAATTAATGCAACCCTTTCCAGATCTCAGCAGAGCCACTAAGCAAAGGCATCCCTTTCTCATTCTTCGACCTGACACAAATCCGTCATGGGAAACTGTTGCTCTGGTGTCATCACTTTGCCTCAGCACTGAGGCTTTTCTGGAGTTGAGGATCTGTTTCATCTTTCTTTCTTCCCATGGGCTGACTTCAGTTGGGGGCAACAGTGTCCCTAAACCCTGGCCAGCCTCAGCGTATGACTGTAAGCAATGATGATGAGGCTGCCTCACACCTCCACCTCTGGGCACAGAAAGGCTTTGTTTCCTCTGTCAATGTCTGGATGTATTTGTCCTTCGTCCTCTCCCTTCCTCCCTCCCTCCCTCCCTCCCTCCCTCCCTCCCTCCCTCCCTCCTTCCCTCCCTCCTTCCCTCCCTCCCTCCCTCCCTCCTTCCTTCCTTCCCTCCTTCTTTCCTTCCTTCCTTCCTTCCTTCCTTCCTTCCTTCCTTCCTTCCTTCCTTCCTTTCCTCCTTCCCTCCCTCTCTCCTTCCTTTTTCCTTCCTTCCCCCTATCTCCCTTGTTCATTTCCTCCCTCCATACTTTTTCCCTCCTTCTCTCCCTCCCTCCCTTTCTCCCACTTTCTCTCTCCCTCCCTCCCTTTCCTCCCTCCCTCCCTCCCTCCCTCCCACTTCCTCTCTCCCTCCCTCCCTCCCACTTCCTCTCTCCCTCCCTCCCTCCTTCCCAGTTCCTCTCTCCCTCCCTCCCTCCCTCCCTCCCTCCCTCTCACTTCCTTTCTCCCTCCCTCCCTCCCTCCCTCCGTCCCTCCCTCCCTCCCTCCCTCTCACTTCCTTTCTCCCTCCCTCATTCCTTATCTCCCTCCCTCTTTCCTTCCCTCCCTCCTTCCTTCTTCCTTTCCTTCCTCCTTCCTGGAGAAGTTGCTGAGCAGTTGCTCTGCCAAACCCTGTAGGCACAGTGTTGGGTACAGAGGGTAAGGAACCCACTGTCCTGATTGCCTCCCAGAGTCTGTGGCAGCCTTTGCCCAAGTGGGTAGTACTGTGGGCGCTGGGTGTGAGATGGTACTGCTGTAACCTTCAGAGTAGGTATTAGTAGCCTTAAGTGCAATGGGGGTGGGAGTGGGGTCAGAGAGGTACTTTGTTTACCCAGAGAAGGTATATTTCCAGAGGTGCACTGAGTATTGTTTTCTCTGCAAAGTTTGCAATAGACCAGCTATTTTGGGGAATCTCTAGGCTTGACCCACTGACTATGAAGTAGAAAATGGATTTGGAAGACTTGAGGCTGGAGGCAGGGCACTGGTGGTGGGAGCGGAAACTCAAAAGGCAATGGGGTCTTAGGCTAGAGCAATGACAAAGGGGTGCCTAGAAGGGTTTGTGAAGGACAGAGGTATTGACGGGGATTCTCCACCGAGCAGTCAGGACAAGAGTCGGTCCTTGCAGATTTCTAAGTGTCAGCAGGGAGAGCCCTGGATAATGCACATACCCACATCTCCAGAGGAGGGGTGCTCACAGGTCCTTCTTGGCTAGGTGTCACTGAGCACCACCTTTTCCCCCAAACCTGCAGACCGCTCCTTCCTTCCCTCTTCATACCTCGGCCAGCTGCATGTCACTTCCCTCGCGTAGCCTTCTCTGATACTTGTCCCTTGACCTCCCCTAAGAGGCCACACCCATTCCCATAGCATGCATGCGCTCAAACTCATCGCAAAGTGAGGATGCCTGAGACGCCTGAGACCTCTGCAGGGAGCCTCACTGGCCCACTGTCTCTCCCGTGGGGATCCTGGGGATCCGTGGGGGCCTCACCTCATGTGCCTGATGTGACTCAGGAGGAGGAGGAGCTGGGCCAGACGGCGGTGCTGCTGCTGCAGGTTCAGGCCGGCTTTGGCCATCAGGTGGATCAAAGTGTCTGTGATCTTGTCCAGGACGCGGTGGATATGGTCCTTCTCTTCCAGAGACTTCAGGGTGCTGGACAGGAAGGTGTACACCCCTAAACATGCAGAGGGAAGAAGAAAACACTTAGAGAAGAGGGTTTGAGGAGACCAGGAGTCCATGTAGCACCTGAACGCTGAGCCCCGGTGTCTATAAACCCCTCCTCTTGCTTCTTCTATCCCAACCCAGCAAAGGAATTCAGGCCCTGTTTGATCCAGGCCACTATGTAAACTTCCTCATGACAATGCATGAATGAGAAAGTCAAGTGGCCACCGGCATATAATGCAACTTGCAGAATTTGCCATCCAGCGTCCCCAGAAAGGCACTGTTAGCCTTGGGGTCATAATGGTGGAAGACGCTTACCTCTTCACTGATTCTGACGCTAGCATCAACACACCCATCCACACTGAGTACGACCCCACAACACAGGTCACACCATCTCTCCACATGAAGAAAGGGGAGACCCGTAACTCCCTAGGACAGAGTTGAGCTGAGAAACAAGCTGAGTGCAGACCCCATGCCTGCTCATGATAATGGAACATTCTTGGGGGTGGGAGCAGGGGGAAGAGGCAGAACAAGAATCAGAGGACTTTGCCAAGTCACTTAGGACGTTCTCTGCAGCTTGTTGCAAAACAGATTTGCGACTTGCAGAATCTTTAGCCTCTGGGAAAAGGTTTAGAAAGGTGAGCACAGCAAGCTGGGCACAGAAAGGGCTGTAGGAGCTGTTGTTTCTCATGCCAAGACAGGTTTATACCCTATTGACTTTTTTTTTTTCAGATAACAGATTCTGCACTCTGGAGCACAGGTAAACTCATGACCCAAACTATACTATTGAGCCATTCCAGTCTTTGGGATTTAGACCTGAGCTAGGTAAGCCACACTAGTTGTAGTATGAAAATTAGGAAACAGAAATTCTAGAATGGAAATTAGGAGACAGAAATTCTCTCCTTTGAAGTTGCTGAGCTGGGAAGAAAAGAATATGGGGTTCTTAAGGAGCAGTTTCTTAGCAGTGGGGCCCCAAGCCTGGCTGTTAGCAAAATGGAATTACACAAGAAAAAAATGAGAGCATGCTATGGGTGTGAGTGTGTGTGTTTGTGTATGTGTGAGCGTGCACATGTGTGCATGGGTGCAGAGGCCAATGGGAAAGAAATCCTGGCTCTAGTCAAGAGGCCCTAGATCTTTCTTTTTTCCTTCAACATTGAAGCTCTCATTGACAAAGTTGTCCATGATTGGGTTTCAGTCATACAATGTTCCAACATTCATCCCTTCACCAGCACGCATTTTCCATCAGCAATGGCCCCAGTTTCCCTCCTGCTTGCCCTCTACTCTCCATCCTGTATGGCAGACACGCAGGCTCACTCCTTGGCTATGTGTCACTGAGCACCACCCATTCCCCCAAACCTGCAGACCACCACTTCCTTCCCTCTTCATACCTCGGCCAGCTGCATCTCACTTCCCTCGCGCAGTCTTCTCTGACACTTGTCCCTTGGCCTCTCTCTCTCTCTCTCTCTCTCTCTCTCTCTCTCTCTCTCTCTCTTTCTCTCTCTCTCTCTCTCTCTCTTTCCTATTTTTCCTTTAAGGCACTGTGGTTCGCAATACTGTTACTGAAAGAGTATCATGTACATCACCTTAACTCCTTTCAGCACTCGGTTTTTGTCCAGAATGATCATTTCCAACCATCATTGTCATTTTTAATTTACAAATTATTTTAGTCACCATGATTTACAAGATTGATATTAGCAGCCTCTCATGTCAAAACCACTGCAGCAACAGACCCTCCACCAGAGTATTAGCTTCCCTCCACCATGTCCCAATACCCCCCAACCAACCCCATCCTATCCCCCTATCCACCCTCCAGTGATATACTTCCTACTACAGACCAGTTCTCAGGTTCTATTGCTTTTGAGCATTTGTTGTTTCTTTTCCTATGCACCTTTCTTGCTGGAGAGGATGGGGTCAGTCCTTCACATGTGATGGAAAGAAATCCAATTCTTACACCAAAGGGTGAGCTCAGCCAAGATAAAGAGGTGACAAGTATGAAGAGCCTAAGGAGGCAGGATGGACCCAGCCTCTTTTGGGAGCCCAAGGCTGACTATTCTATCAAGTCAACCCTGCAGAAATAAGCTCTTCCTACCTCTTCACACAGCCCTGCAGGGAGCAGATGTCACATTCCTCTCTAGTGACTGCAGATTTAGTAACCTAGCTCTGCTCCCACCTCTATGCAACCCACAGACACAGTATGGATATAAATAAAATAGGAATTAAAAATAGAAATAAAATGCATAAAAAATTCATATTGTTTATCTAGAAATAATATATTTATTTATATTTGTAAATAGGGCTGGAGTGATAGCACAGCAGTAGGGCATTTTCCTTGCACGCAGCCAGCCTGACCGAGCCAGGTTTGATTCCTCTGCTCCTCTCGGAGAGCCTGGCAAGCTACCAAGAGTATCTTGCCCATGCAGTAAAGCCTGGCAAGCTACCTGTGATGTATTTGATATGCCAAACACAGTAACAACAAGTCTCAAAGTAGAGACGTTACTGGGCCCGCTTGAGCAAATCAATGAACAATGGGAGGACAGTGTTTTTTTGTTTGTATTTGTAAATAATACAACCATGTTTATAAATACACAGAGTACAAATCATAGATGCATAATAAATAATAAATCCATGAATAGACTTCTCCTCTCGCTGCTTCTGACATCAGAGGTGCCTTAAAACCCAAGCACCACCCCCCCCCCCCCCCCGCAATATATCTGTCCCTGACTCTGGGTTGGCACATGCTGGTGGGTTACTGTTGGCAGCAGTTCGGGGTTGAGAAGGGGGGAAATACTTCCCTGGCACAATTCAGATGAAATCATGGTGACTAGCTGGAACAGAAAGTGATGACTGTCGAAAACAAATGCAACAACAACAACAAACAACAGAACCAGAATGGCCAGCATCTCCACTCTGAGGCCATGGAGAAGAATGTCATTCTAGGTACCCAGAGACACTCAAGCCAAAGCACACAGAGCTGGAATGAAAAAGCAGCTGACAAGCAGTGTGACCCATCAAGAAAGAAATCTCTGGAAGATTTTACTGAAGGGGCTGGCCTGCAGGTGCCAGGGTCAGGAGTCAGGGGTCAGGGGTCAGGGGTGTCTGGGGCTGAGAGCAGCCTCTGCTGAGCCCCGTGGGCCTACTGCTCCCCACCCTCTGTGTCATCACAGACAAGCTGGTCTCCCAGAGGTCGGGCTCTGGCCGGCCCTCCTGGAGCCCTGGCCAGGCCCTAGAATGGAGTTAATCCAACTTGGAGGATGTGTTCCCCACAAATTTCCTTCTCTGTTACCACCCAGGATGATGGCCTCATTCACCAATAATTCTGCTCTTATTCAAAGCAACCACTGTGTGTGTGTTTGTGCGTGTGATCAGCCTTCATGTGTGTGAGACTTGCATGACATTTATTCTTTCTACTTAGGTGCAGTCTTGTTTGTTTGTATGGTTGGTTGATTGGTTTGAGGGTCACACCCTGAGATGCTCAGAGCTTACTCCTGCTCTGCACTTGGGAATTACTCCTGGCGGGGCTAGGGGAATCACAGGGGTGCTGGGGATCAAACCCAGGTCAGTTGTGTGCAAAAACAAATACCTTACCCACTGTACTATCACTCCGGCCCTACTGATGTGCACAGTTGGTGCGCTTGGGGCTAGTGGCTTAGGCATCCTGAGACCTGGGGATGTGGGTGAACTGTCCTCGGAAGCTAGGAAACCCAACGCTCAAACAATGGGTGCCCTGTCTTCCCAGCTTGGCTGTGGGGTGCTACGATTCTCTCTCATCTGCAGGGAGCATGGCTTGCCTTCTTCAGCCTGCTTCCAGTGGAGAACTTCCTGTGTGCAAGTACTGTGTTAAGGACAGGGATTCCAAGGACATGTTCAGAACAAGACTGAGTTTTTGGGTCCTGTGTTGGCATCAGTTCAGCCTATTATCTCATCCCTGCCACCAGATGCTTCCCAGCTGAGCAAGTAGACTCAGAAATGAAAGTACAGTCCCAAGGGCCAGAGAGACAGTACAGCAGGTAAGGCACTTGCCTTGCATGTGGTAGGCCTGAATTTGATCCCTGCCACCCTATAGGATCCCCCTAGCCTGTCAGGAATGATCCCTGAACATAGCAAGGAGTAAGCCCATTTGAGCACAGGTGAGTGTGCGCCAAAAACCATTTTTTTAAAAAAAGGCAATCTCAGAGAGATGCCAATAATTGGCAATAGCAGCCATCGTGCTTTGGGGTCTTTCTGGTGAAACATGGTCTAGGTTGGCAGCACACTCCCCCCAGTGAGCCACGACAACAAATCTGAACCCCTAAAGTCTGTCAGGGGCTCCCACAGCAGCTAAAAAGGATGTCTGGTCACTTCCATACCCTAAGTGATCACTGCCACCCTAGATGGCCACACGGAGCTAGTGATCAGACAGGAAGAGCCTTCAAAAATAGTCTTGCAAACAAGACTGGTTTTTGCAACTTTTGAAGCTGTTCCAAATCCCAAGGATGGAAAAAAATCTGTATGTCATGATCCAGCCTTGAGGCACGGCTGGCAAATCACAGCTTCTGTTTTTGGATTCCTGTAGTCAACACAGGGAGAGGAAAGAAGAGTCTGTGGAAGAAATCTGGTGGCAAACATGATTGGGTCGTGAACCCACCTGGTCACCTCTCTAAATGAGATCTCAGTTCATTTTCTCTCTTGCCCTGTGTTTCCCGCCGACTTGATCCTGCATGTGTGTGTGTGTGTGTGTGTTCTCTCCCTATCTCTGTCTCTCTGTATCTCAATCTTTCTCTGTCTCTCTCTGTCTCTCTATCTGTCTCTGTTTCTGTCTCTATCTCTCTCTATCTCTCTATCTCTGTCTGCCTCTGTCTCTCTCTCCCCTCTTCACTCTCTTTCTACTTGGACACTTTCTTCCTTCTTCCTTTTTGTTCTCCACCCCTCCTCGCATTGCCAGATGACGGAGTTTTCAGCAGCTAGAAGAACACTGAACAGTGATGCAAACATGCCAGCATGCCTGTGCATTTGGCAGTGTCTCCACTGGCCAGC